CATTCCTGTAAAATCGAAAATTTTGTTATGATTTATATCAAGGAGATACACGTTTACAGGTGTACGCATAAAAAAATATTTTTTATTCCTGTAAAATCGAAAATTTTGTTATTTGTATCAAGAAAATACATTCTTACTTGTATGGACAATAAAAATATTTTGTATTACTGTAAAATATAAAAGTTTTGTTATGACCTATATTAGGGAGATAAAGGCTTATGTGTATGCACGTTATAGGTAATTATCGATGACTCTAAATTATAATACTTTGGTATGACTGGTAAGAGGGAGAACAAAAAAAATCATTTGATTTCTTTCAAAAAATGTAATATATTGAAAAATTTTCTACCTTTTTTACATTTGTCGATACTTATAAACGTTCTAGTGAATTTGCTAGATTTAACTTAAATAAATTTTTCTCTAATATGTCACATCTATATAAGCACATGATGATGTTAAAACCATTGCTTTAGCTCTAGTAAAATATTGAATATATTCGACATTATATGAATATAAATTATTTCCATCTATGATATTTCTACTAAAATAAAACAAATTCAGTTGAAATATATCCTTACAATAATAAAAAGAGATTAATGTTTTTTTAGAGCTTATATCTTGATGTTCAACTTCATAGTCATCATTTTCTATATGAAACCCGTAGTTTCTATGCTAGATGTGTTTAAAAAAATTATAAATCACAAGACATTAAAAATGCATGTCGTATGTTGAATCTTATTAAATACCTTTCAGCTTTCATTGTTTAATCTCATACTTACTATTCATTTTTTTATAATTCTATTCGATTCATACTAGTCTTTTTTATAGTCATCTCCATGAACTTTGTTTCTTTATTTTAATACACTCAGACAAACTTTCTATGTTATTTTATTTATATGAAAGTGAATTATTTTTTACTTAAAATTGTTCTTTGTACTTTATTCGACTTGAATAGAATAATTTGTGATATCATTTTTTTGATGATCTATTTTTTTATTGATATTAAATTGTAAATATTTCATACATTTATCAAAGATATATAATCGAAGTATAAAGATAAAATTATTCTTTATTATATATTTCAAATATTTTCACTTTAAAAATATAGAATAAATAAATAGCTACTATAATGATACAAATATATAGATGAAGCAATAGTTATCATTGTTTAATTAAATGTCATAAATAATTCATAAATTCCTGCAGAATGAAAATACAGAAATATATTGACTTGATTCATATTCGAATTATTCTTATAAACTTTATAAAATTATTTTCATTTCAGCAAAAGTAGGAGACATTCCATTTGTTCGATTTAATATTTTCAAATTTTTTGTACATGCATCAGTGAATCCACAAATACCTGATAAACTTTTGTCGATAAATCCAATATTAAATGATGCAAGTTGATGTTTAATACCTCTTATTGGACTATAATTAAACAAAAAAATATATAAAATAGAAATAATTTTAGATAAGAAATAAACCAGAATATTTACTAATAGATATTCCACAATCGGAAAACAGAAATAATTTTTTAATTTTCTTGTCACAGATAAAAACTTATTAGAATAAAATAAATACAAAATATTTTCATAGAATTTTATTCAATATCTATTTGTATAAAGAATTCTTTCGTAATCTCACTATTCAAGTCAAGATACTTTACTACTTAAAGCATCGTATTTTTATTTATACTCTATTGGAAATTGTTTAGTTGCCAAAACATATTTCAAAAGATACAGTTGATATAGTTTTAAATCTAAAATTTTTTAGAATAAACAATATAGTATAATTACATTAAATTTCTATTCTTAAAATAAGAAAAAGAAAAGATGAGTTGAAATTACGAGTAATATAAACAAATTATTTGATTTTTTCTTTTCAAAATTATTAATTATGTCAATAAGAATCATTACAATTTCATTGTTTGAAATGATATTTTATAGAATATAGTACCATTTTTTTCAATGTTATCGTAAAGAAAAAACTGTTTTCTGAATCGCATGGAATTCTATTGAAAATGTTCAAACAATATTATAAAAATTTCGAGAATATTGACTTTTGTTTGTACGATAAATAAAAAGTTAAAAATCATATAGAACTTTTTAATAAATTTATTTTTATGTTAGAAATTCTTTTTTTAATCAATATGATAATATTTTGTTTATTTAATTCTGATTAACAAAATATAAATAAAACTTTTTTCTTCTATATTTAATCAGAATATATCTTCGTCCTAGAAGATATATGAACACATTCGATGTAATTCACTTTTCATACGAGAATTAATCAAGGCATTCAATCACGCAAACAACAAACTTCTAATAAATCTACTTACTCATTTTCTTTTCTGCTCCATTGATTTTTCTCCGTTCTCCTCTTACCTTCGAATAAGATAGTGAATCGAATCTCGCATCTATCTCATAAATGACTCAAGTTGCTCTTTCGTCCTCTAATGTACAGTATATAGTATGTGAGAGGTAACAGAACGAAATATCCACATTTTTGTCTCGTATTCGTATTTCTTCAGCTCTCTCGTGTAAAATCAATCAAGATTTTTTAATCGTTAACATCAATCCATTTATTTTCAATGAATACAGAACGAGCTAATAGAAAAAGATTAAAAAATATCTGCATGACGAGTATTATGATCTTCTGAAAAGATAGAAATAATTTATTATACGTATCAGAAAAAATAAAACGAAGTGTTTATCTAACCTTCATTCGATACATAAACATTATACCAAAATGCAGAACTTCCTTTTATTGATTTCAGATGACTTCCAACTACAGACAAACTGTTGCATCACCTCGTTCAACATCACTCAACTAGAAACATTTATTATTATTATTATAACACATTTCTAATAATATCCAATTAACTTACATAAGTTAACCATGTAGTGATACGATTTCCTAGAAAATAAAAATTATGATATAATTTCTCATAGAGAATTTCAACTCATGAGCACTAAGACCTGAAAAAGTATCTTTCTCTCATTTCTAAGTTTGACAAAGAAATATTCATAACTTACTCGTGCAAAATCAAAATGTGGTCATAATGACCATCAACATCATCGTTTTCAATCGAATTATTTTATTCTTAATTTTATTTTGTTATTCTCTAATTATTCACATATCTGAAGATCTTCAAATGTTATCATACTTTAATTTGTTACAGCTTCAATTAATCGAGATAAACGAGAAATGACTGATGAATCTTCATTTCTCAACCAACCACTAAAAATAAAATAAAAATTAAGCTTCAAACTAAATCTATATTTCCAGGTAAAAATATAACATACAAAATAATAAATTTAACTATGATCAGTTAATAATGATGAACAGCTTCGACATTTGAGGAATAAAAACAGTATTTGTTTGACATGCATTGAGATTAAGTATAAAAATTATACTTGTTTTTTCTTAGTTCGTATCTTTTGCTCACCCTATAACTGTCATGTTCATCTCTTGATGCTTTATGATTTTGTATTACCACTCTGCTTAACTGCAACCATAATTATAAATAATTATCTTAGATTAAATATTCATCAGATAATAATGAAAAATTATTTTTAACATCATATGGAATATACATAATTTAGTCTGATAGACTCTAGTTTTGATCAAAACAATTTTGTCTATGATATTTATGTTTTAAATCTCGAAAAATGTTTAAAAATTGATTGAATCAACTAATACTAGTTTTTAGCTATATTCTTCTCATTGATATTTTTACACCAAACGTTTTTTTCATCAACCCTTCGTATTCATTGAAGTTTTGTATATATAATCTGCATTTAAGAAGTATAATATATACATGTCTGAATAATTTCGGAAATGATACTATATTTTATTTATTTGAAATCAACATTATTCACAGAGAATGATTGTTTTTGAGAAAAATATTGCAATCATATTTTTGTTTACTTTGATAATTTGTATAAAATCCTCAAATATCTCTCTAGATCTTTCATTTTACAAAATAGAAACAAGATTCTATTATATATTCAACAACAAATAAAATCATCCGATCAATACAATGTGTAATTTACTACATGTGTAAACAACTAACAATAAATAGACCTTTTATTTTTCAGTATCTCATACTCATTCTATAGTCATCTGTTTTGATTTCCAACATTATTAATTCGTAGGAAATAAAAAAAAATCTTCGTCGGAATATTCGTCTAATTTTAACGTTTTTCTCATATAAATCAGTCGGATTTTATTCGTTAAACACTTTCCAGATCATTTAAATAAGAAAATATATATATACAATGCAAAAAAAAAACAAAAATCAATTTTAACATAAAAAGTTTAAATATTCTGACGGTATATAAATATACTGAAGACTAAAGAAAAAGAAATAAAATGAATTTCTATATCGCACAGACATATTCAAGAGCTTTTTAAATAAATTTTTCTATAAGTCTAGATATAATATTCATTAATAATATGATTGTAATTATTTCCTAATAAATATTATACATAAACAATTGTTCCAAGGTCTATTATAATATTGAGTAAGACTAAATATATTTGTTCAACAAAAACTAAAATCTATACTATCATTCATGTTAAAATAATGTAATTATAGACTGGTTATAACTGATGAATCTTTCAAATAATAAATTTCTTAAACATATTACATATTTTTAAATGAATGAATGAAATATTATTGTTTGGAAAGAGTTAGAAAAGAATAATAGAAAAATAATGACTTCATATTTGTCTGACGCTTGATTTAAGTATGTTTCTTTGGTATGTACCAAGTAACTTGTTACATTTAGATTACAAAAATAAAGAGAATGATTTATTTTGTTTGATTTTCTTGATTGAGTCGAATGGAAAACATCGAATAATACATATGATTTAATGATACAAATAAAACGTTTCGATGGCTAGGCCATGTTTTTCTATCAAAACACAATTTCTTAATCGATGTATCCATTCATAAGTAGAAGTTTACAAGATCTAGAGAGAAATGATTATTCAGGTACATGTACAATGTCAAACAATAGATTATATGTATCTGCCTATATAGAAATTCTTTTTATTCTTTCTTTCCATTTCACTTAGTGGAACCATTTCTCGCTAAATTCAAGTCTACATACAATATCATATAATAGATTATATATATATACATGTATGTATGTTTATATCGATTTTATCCATTCTTTTCATTTCTTCTTGATATGTATGACTCGAGGGTGAAGTGAAACAATTTTCCTTATTGACTAGTTCAGTTATTCACTATTGTGAATGTTATAAATTGCTCATTGATATAATCATGTAAGAAATGTAATAGAGAATTTTTTATTTATTTTTCACGTGTCTGATGTACGTGATAATCTCACGATTATTTTTGACATTTAATTATTTTTCAGATTTGTAATTATATCATGGTCTGAAGGTTATATTCGACGTAAATTGATTAGAGTAGATCTGGTTAAATATCGTATGTTTTGATCTTTTAGGAATGAAATCACATATTTTTAATCAGTAATAAGATTCTTTTTTTCCTCTTCCATTGTTACTCTTTCATATAAAACAATTGTTTGAAAAATCTATTCCTAACGAAATTTATAATAATGGTCCGCATATTAAATTGGTGTAAACCACGATGGCGTTTATTAATTGTTTTGTTAACACCATTGGTTCTTCTTCCAATACCACTTATTGGTAAATCACCTGTATGTTAAATAGTTTTGTTTTCTTTTCTAATAATTTTCCATTTAGCAAGCACGATGTGGTTATATTGTACTTATTTTAACTATCTATTGGGTTTTCGAAGCAATACCATTACCAGTTACTTCTTTATTACCATTAGCTCTTTTTCCAATGGTAGAAGAAAATATATCTTCTTTTATTATACTGTATTAAGATATATATATATATGTATAACTTTAGGCTGGTATTTTACCTGCTGAAATTGTTGCACCACATTATTTTAAAGATATAATAACACTTTTCTTTGGTAGTATGGCACTTGCTTTTGCTGTTGAATCTGTTAATCTTCATCGAAGAATTGCATTATTTGTTCTAAGTCTTGTTGGAACTTCAACAAAATGGTATTTATTAGTGTTTAATTTTCATTAAATTAATTAATTTATTTATAGGTCTATGGCTGGTTTAATGGCGGTGACTGCTTTTCTTTCAATGTGGATTAATAATTCAGCAGCAACATCAATTATGTTACCGGTTGCATTAGCAATAACTAATGAACTTGAAAGTCATACTAAAGGATATCATGAAAAGAAAAATGCTGCTAAAGAAGCTGCATCTGCAGTAAATGGTAAACAAAAGAATTTTGAAGAAAAGAATTAGAAAATTTTTTCAAACTTTTTCTAGAAACACTTGATCTAACTGAAGTTGAATCATCCATCGAACATGTTATAAAAGGAATTGTTTTAAATCCATTACATTTAGAAGAACCGTATATAAAATAAATTAAAATAAAATTCGTAACTTTTCATTTCAATTATTTAGAGAACCAACAAATCGTGTAACATTAAAAAAACGTTTCCAATTACCATGGAAAAAATCAAATCGTCTTATAGTTACGTCATCCGAAGACAAAAAATATAATAGCATAAAGAAAGGTATTTTTAGAAATTGAATAAATCAAATATATGAAATTTTATTTTCATAGGATTTCTTCTAGCTGTTGCATATTCAGCAACTATCGGTGGTTTATCGAGTTTAGTTGGTACAGCACCGAATATTTTTGTTAAAGGTTTTGCTGATAGGTTACTATAATAATAATAACATATCATTTTTCAATCATTTAATACTTCTTTTATATTTAGTCAATATAAGAATACTGCATTTCGTATAAATTTTCTTAATTTTCTTTTATTTGCTTTACCGGTTGCATTATTAATGCTTGTCATTTGTTGGTTATGGTTACAAATTTATTTTAATACTAAAGAGTTTAAATAAATTAAATATAATTTCTAAGTTTTTTAATTTGTTTTTTTTCATAGATTTTTTCAATTTCGTACAGATCCTGAATCTCAAGCAATACAAGCTGATTTAAAACTTATGTTACTTAAACAATATCATGATCTTGGAAGACCAAAGTAAATACGATATTTGATTTATTTATTAAAAACTTTTTTTTTCTAGATGGAGTGAAATTTCTGTTGCAATTGTTTTCTGTTTTATGATACTTCTATGGGTAACAAAAGATTTTTCTGGATCACCAGGATGGGATGTTATATTCAGACATAAATTTATAAGTGATGGAACAGTAGCAATATTTTGTGGAGTTCTCCCATTGATTTTACCAAATGCAAATCCTTTACAAGGTAAGAATTAATTGAAAACAAAAAAAAAAAAAGATAAAAATATTTTGTTCGATTGCAGCTGATTGGAAATATGAACCAATAATACGTTGGAATGATTTAGCAAAACATATGCCATGGGGTGCATTAATATTACTTGGTGCTGGTCTTGTTGTTGCATCAGCTTTTCAAGTTTGTAAATTTGATAAAAATGAAAACCGAAATAAAATTTCTAGTTTCTAAGGCGTCACAATTATCAGAAAGTGTTGCACATGCACTTAAATTTCTCTCTGGTATACCACGTGCCGCTGTTATTTTATTAGTTATTATTATAAGTGGATTTTTTACGGAAGTAACATCAAATTTAAGTACAGCTAGTATATTTTTTCCGGTTTTAGACTCCGTTGTAAGTATATAGAGAATTTTAATTTTATTATAGATCAAACAATATTTAATATATTAGGGACGTTCTTCTGGTATTCATCCCGCTTTTCTTATTCTTCCGTGTACATTAGCAGTTTCATTAGCTTTTATGTTACCGATTGGTAAATAAAGAAAATTTCTTATAACAAAAAACTTTTAATTATTTTTTAAGCAACACCACCAAATGCAATTGTCTTTGGCAGTGGTGCTCTTCGTGTTATTGATATGGTAAAAATTTTTCATAAACTATATATATAGATCGTATTTTTTCATCAATAGGTTAAAGCTGGTATTGTTATGAATATAATGGGTTTTCTCGTTATTTTTTTTGCTGCAACGACTTGGATGCCGAAAATTTATGGTTTAACTGGTGATGCAACGAATATATTTTTTAGTTTGAATACAACAGTAAATCCCGGATTTTATAATGGAACAGAATGAAATTATTTTTTTAATATATACATACATAGACGAACAACGAAACGTTTTTTTTAATATAATAGTTGCTTATAATAAAAAACTATAGGTAGAATTATATATATATTTTTTTAGAATTAAGAGAAGACGTAATTATTTATGTAATTTCTATGAAAATAAAAACCTTTTTAGTGATCAATAGAAAAACGAATAAAATTTTATATTAAAAGTTATTTTCTTCAATAAGTAACTAGAAATTAATTCTGATGTAAATAAAAAAAACCCGAATAGGTTATACCGAAGAACTTAATGGAAAGTTTGTTTAGATTTTTATTCGTTAATGATTAGCGCCATCGATTTATTTTCCATTGGTTGATCTCTTTCAACAAATCATAATGATGTTCTAATGATTTCTCATGTTATTATTATTTGTTTACGATAAATCAGTTGCTGGATAGTTGATATTTTTTAATAAATGATTTTTTAGATTAATTATGGGACGACGAAAGAAAACCGATGATAAATTTGCTAAACCTATTCGTGGTCCTGGTCGTAAATCACGAAAACAAGGCGAACCAGTTTTTGCAAAGGAATTACTAGCAACAGGTATAAAATATTTGTCGAATTTTTTTCGTAATCATATTTTCTGATTTTTAGACCCGAATGAAAAGAAAAAAATATCAAGTCGTGGTAAACAACGGTATAAATTAATTTCTTTTTTCTTTATTTTCACTTGAAAAATTTTTTTTTCAGTGCAAAAAAACGTCTAGTAAAAGAACAAACAAAATTAACAAATAAAAAAACAACAAGTTTGTTCTATTTTTAATTATTATTAAAAACTATTTTTTTTTCTTTCATAAAGAACCGAAACCAATAATAAAACGTCAATCAGATGGTGAATCGAATGATGATGAGGAGGAGGAACAACAAGGCAATGGATATACTGATGATAATCAACAATGGCTTACACCAAAAAAGAAAAAAGTATTTTACAATTAATATAAATTCATTAGAGCACTTAACGGAGAATTGTAATCTCAATGCTAAGATTGATTTTGTCCAAATCCGACGGGATCTAACTAGTGAATGTAATCATCAGAATAGATCTTTGATATAATATAAAGTAACTTAAGATATCAGTAATCCGAGTGCCGGACAGATGTTTATCTATTTCTTATTTACTTCACGCTCTTGACTCTCGGTAACCGTCCTCATTTTATGACTTGAACATTGCCCTAGGGTCCGCACGAACCCACCTCGTAAAAACTACAGAAAATGATGATTTTGCTTTACGTAAAGTATTCATTTATACATTACACAAATACTCTTTCCTCAACAGACTTATTTATCGCTTGTTATAGAGACAGTATACGAACGCACGATGCGAAGAAAAAAGTTGACTCATACTAGTTTTTATCAAAGCGTAGTGAAAATTTGGGTTACTATTATGTGAGGTGAACGTGCAAACGAATCAATACGTATTTAATTTGAAAATAAATCGATACGCAACAGATGGTAGTTATAGAAAAGCGAAAAATTATATCTAAACCATCATTAGTGTCCTGGGATCCGCGTGGACCCATATCCGCATTTTTTCTCTCTTAGATTTGGGCATGATTTCTCATATGGATATTGTACATCTATTAATGACTCGAAATAGTAACCGAGGATTAAGATGATCAAAATCTCCAAAACACGTATATGTCTTCTAAGAAATACAAATAAACGTTTATTTTAGGTATTATTTGAAGGAGATGAAAATGAAGAAGAAGAAGAAGAAGTAATGGAAGAAGATTTGCCATATAATGATGAATTTAATGTGGAAAGTTCAAGTGATGACGACGAAGATGACCTTGATGAACCTAAAGTTTGTTTTTTTCTTTTTTTTTTATTTATAATATTAATTATGTTAATAAATTTAAGCTTGATATTGAAAAAAAATCGAAAAAATTACGTGAAAAACAACGTCAACAAAAAGAAAGTGCTGAACAAGAATTATTAACAAATATTCAACAACATGAAAAAGTTCAATTTCCTAGTGGACAGGAAGTGACAAAAGAAGGTTGATTAAATCAAAGGAAAAAAAGGAAATTTCAATTAAAATAATTTTATTCTCTTTTAGCACCACAAGCTGATTTACAATTATTAATGCATCGTATACGTGAAGTAATCAATGTATTAAATGATTTTAAAAATAAACGTGAAGTAAATCGATCAAGAAAAGAATATCTTGATTTACTTCAACAAGATTTATGTAATTATTATTCATATAACGAATTTTTAATGAATAAACTTATTGATTTATTTCCACTTGCTGAAGTAAGAATTTTTCTAAATAAAAAAAATTCTTTATATATTAAATTCATAGATCATCGATTTTTTGGAAGCAAATGAAGTTCAACGACCAGTTACAATTCGAACTAATACATTAAAAACACGTCGTCGAGATTTAGCTCAGGCCTTAATTAATCGTGGTGTTAATGTTGATCCATTAGATAAATGGACAAAAGTTGGATTAGTTATCTATAATAGTCAAGTACCTATTGGTGCAACACCGGAATATCTCAGTGGACATTATATGCTTCAAGGTGCTTCCAGTTTTCTACCTGTAATGGCATTAGCACCTCAACCAAATGAACGCATTTTAGATATGTGTGCTGCACCAGGTGGAAAAGCAAGTTATATTGGTAAATAAATCTTTAAGAAAAACGAAGTTATATTGAATAATTATAATTTAGGTGCATTAATGCGAAATAGTGGTATATTAGTAGCAAATGATGCTAATAAAGATCGTGCTAGAGCTATTATTGCTAATACACATCGATTGGGTTTAACAAACATAATCGTAACAAATCTTGATGGACGACAATTTTCAGAGGTATGTATCATTTTATATTCATGATATATGTGAATCTCGCATCGAACTATTGACTTTTGAAATTCACTTATTGACCATAAATAGTTGTCAGTAAGATTCAAGTAATGTCTGCGTTCGATATGTAGATTGTATTATGTTGATAACTAAAACTAATTGATAATCTACTAAATAAACATTGTCTTTTTTTAGCATATGGGTGGTTTTGATAGATGTCTTGTTGATGCACCATGTAGTGGTACAGGTGTTATAGCAAAAGATCCAGCAGTAAAAAGTTCCAAAGTAAATTATTCTTAAAGTCTAATATAAAAAAAATAATAATTTATGATTGTGTTTGTTTAATATTAGGATGATAAAGATATTCAACGATGTTTTACTGCACAACGTCAACTTTTATTAAATGCTATTGATTCAGTTAATGAGTTTTCATCAACTGGTGGATATATTGTTTATTCAACATGTTCAATTTTAGTAAGTTTAATATATAAAAGAAGCCGAATAATATTAAATTTTATTTATTTCTTATAATAGGTTGAAGAAAATGAAGCAGTTATTCAATATGCATTAAATAATCGACCAGTAAAACTTGTTGAAACAGGTTTAGAATTTGGTGTTGAAGGTTTCACTAAGTATATTAAAAAAATTTCATTTTATTATTATAATTTAAAACATTTTTTCTTTTTAAAGTTTCAAAGGTACACCATTTCATCCATTTATGAAATATTGCCGTCGATACTATCCACATTTACATAATTTGGATGGTTTTTTTGTTGCAAAATTAAAGAAATATTCAACAAAACAAGGCAATAAAAAAGGTTTAAATTAATATTTTTTGTTATTTTTCTTAATAAACTATTATTTTAGAATCTGAAACAATACAAAAGAAAAAAGAAATTGAAGAAGATGATTCACCAGCATCAATAAATGAAGATTAATTCTTTTTTTTGTTTTTGTTATAAATGTTATAGTTGTTGTTGTTTTTTATTACAACATCCTATGTGATTTCTTTTCAGATATAACATTATGGATATCATTGGTATAGTTACACGTTTACCATCACTTGTTTTTGGCGCATCACGTTGTGATGATAGTTTTGCAGATCGTCTTTCCTATAAATATACCGTTTTAATGCTTGTTCTTTTTGCTATTATTGTAACGAATAAACAATTCGGTACGAAACATATACAATGTAAGTTTGATTGAATATGTTATAAAAGAAATTTTTGATTATATATATATAGGTTGGGTACCGGCTCAATTTACGAAAAATTATGAGGTATGTGTATACAGATTATTTGAAAGTTTCTAAATGCTTCATTGTTGTTTTAGAAAAATACCTTTATATAGAATCATAAGGAGAGAGAAGTTTGATGATGTTAAGTAGATAAAGAGATTATGCAAGTAATCGGAGTTTCATAAATCTTCAAAATAGGACTCTAGCAGTGAATAAATGAAATCGCGGTTTATAGTTAAACAAATACCTTTCATTTAAGAAACAATGAGATATCATTTTGAATTATATTTCTATAGATTGATCTACGTTGGATACTGATAACACTCATGTATATATTACATCCATGGTATTTTGCTATTCAATTCTTATTTAATAACATGCTTTCTAACGCTAATGAATAAGATTTTGCTAACCGATTTTGATCTGAAATAGAGCAGACGCTTTTGTTGATATTCTACTAATCATGACTAGATTAATACTTAGAAGAAAATTTAAAATATTTGATTACTAATCCTGAAAATGGTTGATTGAAATAAATTTTTTTCTTTTTTTAGGAATATGTTAATGATATATGTTGGGTATCGAATACATATTATATTCCTCTTAACGAAAAAGTTCCAAAAATTGAACGAGAAAGACGTCAAAATGAACTACGGTATTATCAATGGATACCATTTATATTACTTCTTCAAGCATTTTGTTTTTATTTTCCACATATTGTTTGGCGTTCATTATCACGTCGTAGTGGTATTGATGTACGCGATATTGTTGATGCTGCTATTAATTATAAATCAGTTGATACCGCAACAAAAGATGATAAACATAAAAATGAATTAATGGATTATATTGTTGAAGCTATTGATAAATATGTTGATGATCCAAGACGACAACCTGATGAACGTGGAAAACGTATTAGTTTAAAACGTATATTTCTAACAATATGCATATTTATGGGCAAATATTTGGGTAATTATTTAATTATTGTTTATTTTACAACGAAAGCACTTTTTATTACAAATGCTGTTTGTCAAATATTTTTATTAAATTTATTTTTGGGACAAAAATTTCATTTATTTGGTATACAAGTACTTAATAGAATTCTTGAAGGACGAGGTAGAAAAATATTTTGAAACAAAAATATATATATATATGAAATTCTTAATTTTTATATCATAAAGGTTGGGATACACAATCACCATATTTTCCGAAAGTAACATTATGCGATTTTCAAATTCGAGAAGCACTTCATCCACGAGATTCACATCGTTATACAGTACAATGCGTTCTTCCTCTCAATTTATTTTCTCAACAAGTAAAAATTATCTTTGAGCATCTTT